GGAAAATAAGGCATGCCGGGATAGTCGTGCCTTTATCTGCACGCTTTTCCCCCTTCCGCTCACTCATTTATGATGCTCTTCTCCCTTGTCTTTACATTCTATTCAGCCTGCTCTTCTTACTCTTCATTGTTTCCTGGCATGCTAGAAGGGAAAGCTATTCCAATTTTTTGAAGCCGCACTTTATGCACTTACAACATGTTCGTTGCTCGGGGACGAGTTGAAACCCAGATGTTCTTTGGTCATTTTTCTTTTGTACGAAATAAGCAGCGAGGCGTTTAATGGGACATGACGACTCGAGATGATCAGGGCGATAGCATACTTAGCAGATGATGGGATGACGGCCGACGGGCGGAGGATGGTGGACGAACGGGGGGCAGACAAAACGATACAAACGAGCCGTGGCTGTCTTTTGTTCTTTCTCGTGTTGCTCGAAATAGAAAGAGACGAAAGATGTTTTTTTTTTCTCACTCGGCTGGTTTTGACGGGGTTGATCTGCTAGGGTTTGTCATGGCCGGTAGTTCATCTTGGAATTGCGGTGGTATGTGTGTGTGTATATATAGAAGAGGGTCAGAACGTCTGGGAACGAGGAATACTTAGCTACTATGAGTGTTTTACTATGTACGATTTACTTTTGTCCGACCCTTTGCGTGTTTGTGTGGTTCTCAGCTTTGAGGTCTGGTGTTTGTGAAGGTGTTTAGAAGGTACTTTATATCAGCTTCACTTTAGAGACATGCTGTTGTGATTTGGCTTGTTCTTTCATATCATCTTGAGCTTTATACGAGTATTTTTGTTTCTGTTTGCCTCCCTTTTTTGATTTTTTAGGTTTAGTATGAACTTGCGGCATTTATCAATTGTTCTGGTGTTAGTTGGGCTTCTAATAGTCGCTCTTTTAGTCGATTGTTGACGACGACTCTAGATGACAGGAGTTCGAGCTCCGTTGGACTTGAAAGTCCCTAAACACAATCATGCCATCTTACTGCCGAACACGGCAAACTTAATTGCCCACGGGCACGGAGATGTCGCCAATGATGGAATAGAAGTTTCTCTGGTCTTGGGTTATAGTATACCTGGCTTGACACGAGTTGTGATGGGGATTGAGTTCTGATGGGTAGACAAGGCTGGAGTCATGCCTAGTCATTCTCACCACAGAAAGGGTCACAAAAACTCAAAACACATGAAGCATAACACACATCTTACGGTCCCTGTTACTACTAGACTAAAAATGAACAAGAACCGGTCCCTATCCTTTTAAGGACACCGACCGAATCAGCTGACTGAGACCGAAGATGTTCCCTAGAGCACAAGAACATGATTGGTTGGTCCGTCCCAATCAGGTATTGAAACGTTGGTGGCGACTTGGATGAAGAAACTCGGGGCGTCTGTGGCTTCTCGCGATGAGTACATACTCTGGGGGTATTTGGCTTGCTCGGTGAAACGGTTGCGTGTTGAGTATGAAGGGTGTGGCTTGTTGGAGTTTGGTTGAGTGGCTTGGTGGTTTCCTTGATTACGCTCGTTCAAAGTTGGTTCTGTACTACATACGCAATGGAGGCTTCGTGATGCTTGTCTGGGTAATGGTTACATACATGCGAATGTTGGGTTGAGGGGGGTTCTATGATGGAGAGTTTGCGGGGTGATGAGCGGTGATGTAAGTGGACTGAACGGTGTATCACAGGGGACGTGGGACGTGGGCATCGATCTGTTGCGGGATGAAGAAAATAAAAAATGACAAGAGGTATTTGCGAGGACATTCTAGGGTAAACCGTGATAGACGAGGGACTGTCTTGACTTGGATGGTGATCATGAAGTAATAGCTAAAGGCAAGCCAAGACAGGTCTACAGGTCAGCTTCATGCATGGAGGGCTTGATTGGCGATGATCACAGATTGGCGGAAACACCAAAAGTCAGCTGAAAAGCATCATCGAGATTGCAGATCGATTGGCAACGCTGCTGCCACGCTCCGATACAGAGTGTCAACCAAGCATCATCATAGAAAAGAGCAGAACCTCTATGCTTGTTCCAGAACTCGGTGTCTTGAGTGACACAAGGCTTTCGGCCGTTCTGTGGCAGTGGCGTCGGCTCTTGTCAGACGTCTAATATCAGGCGGGCGGTCGAAGTTCTCTTGTCTTTTCTCTTCCCTTGTGATTCTTGATCGATTCTCACTTCCAATGTTTCTCTGCTGAGACACGTGCTCGGATTCGGTAGTAATGCAATGATGTGAGCAAAAACCCTGCAGGCGAGACAAGCGCGGGCCAGACTCTCGAAGCAGGGAAGCGCTGTCCGTCGCCTGACCGAGGGCGCGACGACCTAAGTTGCTAAGGTGCAGCCGGGGAGTGAATACTGGCGATTCCCCGTCCGTGTCGCAGCGCGGTAATCACTCATCACTTCCATGCAAGGGAGCTTCCCATCAAGATCGATCTCCGGCCAGCACGTTCCTCCTTGATTGGACTTGATTGGACGGGGAGCACTAAGAAAGAGGGCAAAAGGCACGACAACTCGCGGGCGAGGCCGAGGAAACCAAATTGCCATCAAACCTAGAATCCTGCGCATCCCAGGTTCACAGTACTTTGCCGAGCTGGTGGACGACCTGCAGAAAACTGCCAAGAGACGGTGTGAAAAGTTTTCCAGCGCTTGTACTCGGTACTCTATGCGTGGAGAAAGTACCCAGGCAATCCAGGCCAGCGCCACACTCAAAAGACCCTCGGTGCGTCTTTTGAGGAAAATTGGATGGATATTCAATATTGTCTGCTATCAGAGTTGCTTTCTTTGCCATTCAAATCATCGCATCTTTGCATGTGTTTTTCTGGTGTTGCTCACTCCTGCCGCTCCTCGTTCTCACCCCTTTCCCTTGCATCTCACGGCCCATCGCGGCCGCACTTTCCCACCATGTATGACCCGAGTAGCACCGAGAAGAGAGAAGTCTCGACTCTTGCTCTTGACTCACGCGACAGCTTTCCCGCTTCGGTTGGGGCGTGCTTGGCAGGTGTGGATTGCGTGACGCACGAGAGCGGTCGCCAAGAACATCCGGTGTGTGATAGGGCGCAACTGCCGACCTCAACTGGACGACATGCGGTGCGATGGGAAAGAAGCATCGCGAAAGCGCAAGACGAAAAAGAAGCAATTCAGAGCCTCTTTTTGGGTAGTTTTGGCTTCATCCAGGCGCTCTCTACCGATTGCCAGGAGCTGCCCATGCACCTGCTTCTTTGTTCGGCGGGGACCCAGTAGTTTTTGGCAAGATCGGCACCCATCTTGTCCTGTCCGAGGCGCCGTTCTTGCCGTCCTATCCGGATGCAGCAGCACAGCGCCAACCGGGAAGGCACGCCGCACCACGCCCTTGCCCTCTACGCACCTTCGTGTTGCCCAAGGACGATTAAGCTTCTTACCAGAGCCGTGAGTCTTGCCAATGGCGCCCAAGAGCGCTGTATGTCATGCCCTGTAGAGCTTCTGTGCCCCGATTCCAGAAACCCATTCTGTAATGACCTCGTAGAGAGGGGGTGACGGGAGAAGGGCGCCCACGACCAGACACACACAGACCAAACCAAACCAAACCAAACCACCGATCCGAACCAACTGCAATGCACAGCAAATCCATGTGGGGGTTGCCTTTCTCTCTCTACGAGTACTCGAACTGCCCCCTCACGCTGCTGTCACCGTAACTGTGCGAATGGGTGCAGCCAGGATCATCAGGTTTCTCCGCCAGCGCAGAATTCATGCACTCCGCCCAATTGTCACTTTGCGTGTACGAGTACGGCCGTGTCTACAGTCAGCGTGAGATCCTTTCGCTTCGGTTGACCGAGGCCTCAAAGGATGGCACACCAGTTTCTGGGGGATGCCAGAAAGGCCACCGAGGAAAACAAGGTTCGTATCATGTCGAGTGTCGCGGCGGGCAAACAGGAACCCTGACCGAATGGATGGCCTGCATACGAGTTACCCAGCACCTAGGTGGCCAATTCATGCCCTTGCAGCGTTGTCATAGACGAGAGGCGAGGGTCATCATGGCCCGATTTTCTCAGCAGATCTTGCTCAAGGAACCGAGCACGAGGAGAAAAAAATAGGACGGAAAAATTTCAGTAGCATCAGCTAGGAGGACGCCCAGCTCCGTACGTCAAAAAAACCCTTCTCGAAACTACGACGCACCAAAGAGCGCCACAACGGCCACTCCAGACAGATTCGATTAGATGGTGGCGGCAAAAGCCTGAGATCATGGCTTTGCGCCAGGGAGTTTCCCCCTCCGCTACTGCGAGTATCAGCATGTCCCTTCTACCAAGTTCGAGGCTACTTTGCGCCTGTTGCCTCGGCGAGGACGAAGCACCGCCTGGACCCTGGAACTTGTCCGCTACGACCTACCAGGATGCAGCGAGCGGGTCGCAGGCTGGACAAAGTTGTGTGGGCAGCTTGTGGGGAGCACCCAAGGAACCACGAGGCGGACGACGGAATGGAGCAGCTGGGCCAGGCGAGTCCGCCCCCCGGCCAGAGCCACTCGACGTCCACGGCCTGCCCACGATGTCGATTCTCAGGCTCTGACTGGCCGCTGAAATGCTGTCTTTCGGTCGTCGAAAGCGGCTTAAACTGCGAAGCTCGTGGCGGATGTTCAATGCTCCAGCAAAAGGTGGACGGTTTTTTCGCGACTCTTTAGCTTCCAGCTTGACCGATACCCTCCGGCAAGGGGCGACTGCGACAAACAAATACAGCAGCTGCGGCCCTTCGTTTTCAACCCTTTCTTCTTCTTCTTCTTCTTCTCCATCCTCATCCCTCATCCACGCTTGCTGTCCAAGTGTGTTTGTTGCTGGTGTGGTGGAAACAGCCGAAGCGACAGCCCATCCCTATTGCTGCTAGGGCACCCTCTCCCTCCCTCCTTTCCTGGACATTCTCCCCCGCAAAATCCAGACTCCTCCGCCAATCACATACCTTTGGTGGCAGCAGCAGCAGCAGCACAATTTTCGCGAATATCTGTACTGTGCATTGCATAACTCGCTCGTGCTACGAGCAGCACATCGACCATCATGGCCAGCGAAAAGCCGGCTCCCGTCGCCCATGAGCACCACGGCCTGGGTGGCCTGATTCCCGGCGAGATTCCCATTCCCCACGGCCCCCATGGCGACGGTGACGACCGCGACGACTACCCGCTGGACGGTGATGAGCGCCGTGTCTTCAGCCATGTCACTCGGCCCGACGACTCTTACACCTCGGACGGCACCTACTGGGCCGATCTGCCCTTTGGCGAGCGCGTCAAGTTCGTTTCGGCTGTCGACCGACAGGCCGCCAAAGAAGAGCTGAGCACCATCTGGGCCATGATGAAGAAGGACCCCCTGTCCCCCGTCTCATGGTATTTCCGCCATGCCGTCATCCCCGGTGCCGGTCTTGGTCTCGAGGGCTACGTCCTCTTCTCCATTGGTAACCTGGCGCCTCTCTTCAGCCAGGTCTGGCCCGAGTGCTGGGGCTCCAAGCCGACCGTCTGCGACGCCAACTGGATTGCCAGTGTGACATACCTGGAAGTCGTGGGCATCATGATTGGCCAGGTCATTGTTGGTGTAAGTTGTCCCGAGATGGAATCAGCCGGTTGGAGCAGCAGCAAAAAGGCAAAAGACGCTAACCCATTCTGCAGATTATTGGTGATTGGATTGGCCGTCGCTGGGGTCTCATTCAGGATGCCATCATCATGTTTATCGGACTTCTCATGCTCACGGCCAGCTGGGGCATGAGTCTCCAGGGCTGGGTTATCTGCTACGCCTGGTCTCTGTTCTTCTACTCTCTCGGTGTCGGCGGCGAGTATCCCATCACTGCCACCTCGTCCCTTGAGAGCGCCGTTACTGCCGGCAAGCTGTCGACCAAGGAGGATCGTCTGCACCGTGGCCGCCGTGTCACCATGGCGTTCCTGATGCAGGGCTGGGGCCAGTTTGTCAACCAGGTCCTGCTCATCGTCCTGCTCGTCATCTTCAACAGCGGCAAGGGTGGCCCGCCGTACACCAAGGAGGCCGCCCAGTTCACGTTCCGCCTGTCCTTTGCCTTCCCCGCCATTGGCACCCTGTGGCTCGTCTACTACAGAACCTGGAAGATGCCCCACGCTTCCAAGCAGCTCGCCGAAGCCAAGAGCCGCACCAGCGTCACCGGCTACGACGTCACGGCCCTCAAGTCGTGCTTCACCCACTTTGGCGGCCGTCTGCTCGCCACCGCCGGCACGTGGTTCTGCAACGACGTCTTCTTCTACGGCAACAAGCTCTTCCAGGGCCAGTTCATCAAGGTCATCTCTGACAACCCCAACTCCCTCCTGACCACCTGGTCCTGGAGCTTGGTCAACATTGTCGTCTCCCTGGCCGGCTACTACGCTGCCTCCTTCCTCATCGACAACAAGCTCTACGGCCGCAAGTGGATGCAGCAGGTGGGCTTCTTCATGTGCTTCCTCATGTTCGTCATCCCCGCCTTCAAGTACGACTACTACACCAGCCCTGCCGGCATCCACTCCTTCCAGGCCATGTACTTCTTGTCGTCCTTCTTCAACCAGTTCGGCCCCAACTCGGTCACCTTCCTCATCGCCGGCGAGGTGTTCCCCACCCCTATCCGTGCCACGGCCCACGGCTTCTCCGCCTGTCTCGGCAAGGCTGGTGCCCTGCTCGCCTCGATTCTGTACAACTACATCGACATCCAGACCCGATTCTACGTCGTGCCCTGGTTCGGCCTTGCTGGCATGTTCCTCACCTGGCTCTTCCTGCCCGACACCACCGGCCTCGACCTCAAGGAGCAGGAGCGACGATGGCGCTACATCCGCGACGGCAAGGCTGACGAGTACCACGGTGTTGCCGTCCACCCCCACCATCTGTCCCTGTGGGAGCGATTCCGCGGCGCTAGCAAGTCGTACGATCCCCAGCTGGACTGGAAGGCCAAGATTGAGGACATGCGGGCCGAGTGGGAGGCTGTCCAGGCTGCTCGCGGCCCTAAGGAGACGGAGGGTAATGCCAATGGCATGCCCGAAGATGGCGAGTTCTCCCAGGAGATTCACGACTTCTTCATGCGCTCCAGCCCCCGTGCGCCGCGCTCCAACGGTGTCTTGCATGAGAAGTCTGTTACTGACGAGGCTTCTTCCGAGTAAACCTGGAGCGTACCTTGGATATTCTTTTTCTTTTTACGTACCTATTTCTCGCTCATTCTTCTCGTCCTGATGAATGCTTATACTACACTTTTTTCTATTACATGATGACTGTTTATTTGCGAAGATTGCATGGGAGTTTTGCTTGAGGGATGGGTCTCGGTCCCTTATTCCCCGTTATACCAATGAGATGAGGCGGTGGATGGAAAAGCGGCTTGTATCATAGGCGAAGCGTGGATAGAGCACGTTGGATGTTATGATTCCCTGACGACATTGCCTGATAGAGGGAGGAATAGCTGGTAGCGGCTATGGTATGAATAAAAGTATATATGACGATATCTTGTCAGCAGCGTGTAAGATGGCCCCAAAAGATAAATGAGATCTAGACACTCGGGTTGTGATGAGTCCCATATGGTCGAAGGTTTGACCCCGAGGTGATGGTTGTCAGACTTCGAACACCTCTTTAAGTGACTGCCACATACCTGGTATACAAGTATGCATCCATGACAAGTAGTATATATGGAGGGTATATCAAACAAGTGTGTCGGAGAGAGGGCCAACACTAACTCTGTCAGAATCATAATATGACTGACATGTCGAGTACCTAACCATCAGGGTGATGAATGTGTAATGTCAGAATTTACTTGAATCACAAGGAGAAAAAAGCTACATAAAGGACATAGTTAATGGACTTTTGTAACTTTGTACGGACACAGGCTCTTTGGCAAGATTTGATTTTCAATGGTTTTTTTTTTCCAGCGGATTTATGTTACGAGTGTATCGCCGTTTCCCATGAGCATGCGCAGTAAGGAGGCCAATGCTTTCACGTCCAAAGGCGTACCATGCAAAGTCTCCCCAATCAATCAAAAACCTTTCTGTCTTCCAATATTACGGTGTATGGGTAGACTATGTTTTTATCTGTATCTACTTCTTATTTCTCTACAACCCTTGCTTGTGCCGATTGAAACGATTCCTTCTCTTCTCTCTGTGTTAATGCCAACCATTGCCATTTCTACCATAGGGACTCCGTGGAGAGGGGAAGAACATTACATAAGGTATGGAGAACTGGGGGTTCAAGATTGATGACAGCCGAACTAACCTGATCTGGAAATCCTGTGCTTTAACTCCATTCCTCAACGGAGATTCGGACGTCTTTCTTGTTTTATTCAACTTGACTTGTCCCGTATGAGAGGCTCGGATGGTAAATAGTCATGGACCGAACGAAGTCATTGCGAGAAGAAGAAAAAAGGAGTCTTGCCGCATCCCGTGTTCGGAGGATTTGACAATGGAGGAGTGATGACTCTGTTGCTAGCCTTGTTTGGAAAGGACATCTCTTGCTTGAGGTTGTCGTGTAAGTGGGATATATGGGTGACTTTAATTGCGTATATATACCTTCGATGTCTTCGAAAAGAAACCCGTCTGTATTTCATCAACAATCCAAATCATCTTCTCATCTGTTGACAACTCCTCCAATACGTTTCCAATACCTTCCTCCATATCCGTCACCGCAAGCCCCTTGATCGAAAATGTCTAGCCAAAACGCCAGCTCGGGGAGCCAAGTCATCCTCTCCTCCGAGTTCGTCCTCAGCCGATACGGAGAGTCTCTCGCCGGCAAGAAGAGTACGCTTTCATCCACCCATCTCCCCCCATTCCTCCTCACTATAGCCAAAAAACGTCACAGTCCCCTAACACACCACCCCAGTCCTCATCACAGGCGTCGCCAACGACTCCATCGCAGGCGAACTCGCCCTCCAGCTCAGCGCCGCCAAGCCCTCCCTCGTCATCCTCACCGCCCGCTCCGAGTCCCGCGTCGAGCCCGTCGTGGCCAAGATCAAGGCCAAGCACCCGGACGTTGCCGTGCGCTTCCTCAAGCTCGACCTCGCCTCCCTGGCCGACGTCCGGAGGGCCGCCCGGGAGCTGCTCGACGACGGAGAGGTGCCCAAGATCGACCACCTGGTGGCCGTGGCGGGCGTCATGGTGCCGCCCTACCAGAAGACGGCCGACGGCGTCGAGCTGCAGTTTGCCGTCAACTACCTGGCCAACTTCCTGCTCGTCAAGGAGCTGCTGCCCAAGGTGCGGGCGGCGGGGCCCAAGTCGTCGATTGTCATTTGCGCGAGCTCGGCTGTGCGGGGAGGCTCGGTCAACTTTGACGATGTCAACTATAGCGTTCGTCTCTCTTCTCTTGTCGAGACATCATGCATATGATGTGTATGCCACAAGTTGTTGCTGACATGCTGCCGCTGCAACAGGACGGCGAGACGTATGACCCCATCGGCGCATACGCACAGTCGAATGCTGCCAGAGTCGTTTTCGCCAGGTCTTTGGCCGAGAAGCTCAAGGGAGAAAACATTCGAGTCTTTAGCGTCGACCCCGGCGGTATGTACCCTGCGATGAAAGAGCTGAACATGCGAACGGCGGGCTAATAGTGGTGTCTTCAACCATGATGCAGCGGTTGCTTCAGGACTGCAGCGCAACTTCACCGGCGAGTTCCTCGAGCGGGTTCAGGAGATGCGCAAGTCGGTTGGTCGTAAGCCTCCTCTTACTACCCCCCCTTCTTCTTCTTGTTCCTCCTCTTGCTGACGATTCTGCAGCCGTCCTGCGTGACTATGACGGCCGCCCATATGACATGCCCCCTTTCACAGGCGCCTCCGAGGGTGCCTCGAATCTCATCACCGCCATGACCGATCCGACAATCGAGGACGCCAGCGGAGCTTACATATGCCGTAACGCGGTTGCTGACGAGCAGCTGACGTCGTGGATCTTGAACCGTGAGAACTGGGTCAAGCTGTGGGAGCTCAGCGAGAAGCTCATCGGGGAGCCCTTTGCCGTCTAGACTCTCATTGTCTCCCCCTCCCCTCCCCCCCCCTTCTCATTCCCCCTTTTGTCAGCATCAGTCATACTTCCCTCATCAATGAAAGAAAAAAGACATGCTTTGAATCACGAAACCCTCAGCGGTCTCTCCCGTCGCGTCGCCCGCCAGTAATTGCTCGTCCGAATAATGTCCGGGCACTCAACCGCCAGCCACGGCCACTTGCGCACCATGGTGGCCGACATCTCGTACGACGCGGGATCCCAAGCCTCCCCCCACACCACCATCCCCAGCATGCCGTCGTCGTCCGACGCGTGGCACTGTAGAAACATGTGGTGGCAGAACTCGTCCTCGTCGAGGTCGCCATCGTGTAACCGCCTCAGGAGCGCGTCTCGCAGCGACGGCTGAGGACAGAGGTCGATCCAGGGGTGATGAACGACCTGCCTCTGCAACGCAGTCGGCCGCAAAGCCAGCGGTACACTCTGCAACTCGTCGTCATGCTGCTGAAGGGCACCACCGCCGCTAGCCGCCACAGCAGGAGGCAAAGCAGGCAGGATGCGGCTGCTGCTGCTGCCGCCTCCGCCATCGTAGAAAGGCGAGACAATGTCATCGCCCATGTTGTCCACCGATAGCCCCATCCACCTCGCGTTCACGGCCACGGCCCGGATGATGTTGAACTGCATGACGGACAGCAGCAGCTGGCTGTCCAGCGTATGCTGCGCAACGTGGCGAGACACCAGCTCGTACAGGCGCCGGAAGAAGACGGCGCGGTCCTCCGTCGTCATGGTGCAGAAGAAGCGGAACACCTTGCGGTGGTACCCCTTGGAGAGGAACATGTCCGTGACGCCTGCAATGTCCGCGTCCAAGCCAAGGGGGCTGCGGTTGACGATGGCAGTTGCGGTTGTTGTTGTTGCTGTGTCCGAGCCGGAGGAGGAGGAGGAGGAGGGGGCTTTCCAGGCTTCGTTGAGCGACGCCGACTGCGACTGGGCGAGCCGGTACTGATGCCGCTGCTGCTCCTGATCCAGAAGCTGTCCATCTCGTGGCCTGTCTTGCTGCTGCGTCTTGCCTCCCCTTGGATCGACGTAAACGACCCATTTGTCAAATCGGCGCTTCTTCTTTTCCTGTTGCTGCTGCTTCTGCAACTCCCTCTTCCGCTGGCCTGTAGTATCCCCTTGAATCAGCTTCGCCTTCCATCTCGTAAAGTCATCACATCAACCCTCAGACAGAAGCAGAGGATCCATCATCCTGGCATTGCCAACTTACGACTCGCTCGCTGGTTCAGCCGGTTCTGCAGCCTCCGCCGCTCAGCCGCACTCAACACCTCGTCTCCCTCCTGTTGTTCCACCTCCACGCTTGTGGCTTCAGGCATGGTTGTTTCGTGGACCTCGAGATCAGACGCTCTATATGTGAAGCATCAACGCGCAACCTCGTGGTTCATCTTTGCTGAGACGCCCGCACAGTGAAGAGACGAGACCTCGCGGGAGCCGTCGAGATGCTGCTGCTTCTTGTAGTACAAGGAGTTGCGGGTGGTGGCGCGTCGTCTTACGGACGGTTTAAGTCCGCCCCGGGTCCCACCTAAATCCGCTCCGCGGCCCCGTGTAAGCGGCAGCAAGTTGCCGCACTTGTGATACATGCAGTATCAACTTCAATCTGGCGATGCTGCAGTGTGTACATCATCATACGGGATCCATTCATTCGTGCTTATTCTCTGTACGTCTGCTTCACGCCTACAAGCTCCTAGCTCAACGACACACGCTCCCGTTCATCATCCGGTCCGCCTCCAAAAGTCAACAATGAGCATCGCTACGCTATGATTCGTGTATTTACATTCGCTCGCAATATCCCAATGACATGAAACTCTGCACTCGTGAGGGCTGGGTATGTAGACATGCTGGTGACGGTACGGCGTATACCCGTCGGAAACAGAACAAGGAAAGGGACGGAAAGAAATGCTGGCCGTGTGCCTCTGACCAAAGACGAGGCAGTGTTGACTATAAAATCGCTCCAAGGAAACCTATGAAAGAGAACACAATTGGGAGAGAGAGAGAACACCGAGTCAAACAACAAAACAATGACATGACCAGAAAAAGACAAGAGGAGGGGCAAAAAAATGAAAGAAAAAAAAAAAAAAAAACAAACAAAGCAAGAGCTCATTCCATCCGGGAAGACTTCTTTGCTCTTCTTATATAAATCATTGGTTGTGTACCGTCAATGGATCCTGTTCCTGTTCCTGTCCCGTTCCCGTTCCCTGTCCCATTTCCATTTCCGTTCCCATTTCCGGCGGTCCGTTCCCCGGCTGCGCCAGCTCCTCCTCCGGCTGCAGTTCCGGCTCCGGCGCCGGCTGATCCTCCTCTTACCGTCTTCTTCTCGTCGTCGTTAGCATCGTTATTCGTTTCCATGGCCGCTCGGGTTCCCGCCGGAACGATGACGCTCAGCACGCAGTCGTCCAGGTGCTCGTAAAAGTCCTGTGGCGCTGCGAAGCGGTTGTTGCAAATGGAGCAGATGGCGCTGGCCCCCGAGTTTGCAGACAGCGTGATGAGCCGACCGCCTCTGTTGGTCGTATGGCTATGCAGAGGCGCCTGCTCGACCTGATGGGCCGCGGCGAGATGGCGCTTGAACACGTCTGCTCGGTTGAACGCCTTTGCGTACGCTGAGCCGACACCAGGACAGAACGGACAGACCATGGTGCCTCGGTAGTGGGTGAGCGCGTGCCGGTTCTTGTCATACTTGCGAGCAAACCCCTTTGTGTGATATTCGCACGACTCGATGGGGCACTTCTCCGGCCTCTCCTCCTGGTGCGTGAGCATGTGCGCTGCGAGGTCTTTGAACACGCGTCCGCAGTCGGGGAACGGACACCGGCTTCGATTTTCGGGCGCTGGCGGTGTCGGGATCGGCCGTGGTAAGTGGTGCGGAATCGGCGGCTGGGCGGATGACGGGGGTGGCAGCGACAGCGGAGGAGGCGGCGGCGGCGGTGCCAGTCGACCGGCCGGACTTCTAGAGACCATTTCCCACGGCACCGGCTCTTCCCTGACGTTCGGCGATACCGTCATCGGGCCGACGGACGACATCGACAGATGGCCACTGTTGATGGGCATGGGCGGCAGCTCCATCACGGGCGCCGGTGGTATGGCTGCCAGCGGCACCGTCCTCGTCGGCTGCTTGACGTCTTCATCCTCCTCGCCGTCACTCGACATGTCATTGTCCGCGTCCCCGGCCGCTTCCGCCACGGACTGTCTCACCTCGCGCATCCAGTCCTTCAGGAGCGACATGGGCGGCCAGTCCCCGCTGGCCTTGCCTCCGCGGTGGGGGTTGAAGTGAGCCCGGCGGAGGTGAGCGGCCGCGTTGTAGTAGGCACCATAGTGCTTCTGCATCACGCAGGCTTTGCAGCTCGACAGGGGAATGGCAGGCTGCGGAGCCGCTGGGCTTTGTCCTTCGGGCTCGCAGCAAACCCATCGCTTTACCAACGCTGCGTGTTTAGCATCCGTATGCCGCCTCAGCTCGTGCTCGCCGCGGAATCCTTCGGGGTATTCGTGACACTTGCGACAAAATACGCGCCGAAGAGGCGGTCTCTGATAGGCCGGCTTGAATCTCATGGGCGTTAAGTGGTTTCCAAAGATTGAGCTCGAAGGGTTGATGTTGGTCGGTGCTTCCGCAACCGTATGTCTCCTGGCACGTCCAACATGTTCTGGGACCGGCTGGCTTAGGGACGACGCGACGGCACCGCGACTGATGTTGGCGTCATCCAGCGCCTCTGGACGCGGTCCAAGCAGTATTTCCCGGTGTGAAGATGACGGGGGAAACGCGGAGCTTCCCACGGATGACCAGCGCGGCTCACGCGCCGAAACGGACTGGGGCGTCGATAGCTGAGAATCACTGCTGGGTGTGGCAACTGGTCGCGAAGGACGGATGAAGCCGTTGTAGCCGTACACATCCTTGGTCCTTCCGCTCCCTAAGCTCATGAGAAAGTCTGCACTGGAGCGAATATCCCGGGCTTGCCAGGTGTCCATGCGCATGATGCGCCGCGTCAGCTCGTACACGGGGACGTCTTCCTGTGGCACGTCGCTGGGCGAGCCGTCCGTCAACATCGGTCCGCCCGTGATGAACAGGTGGACAAGGGCCTTGTATACGCTGTCTATCGTGTTCTGAGGGCTGTCTCTAAGGGGGGTCCGATGTCGAAACGCGGGATAAGGCAGCACGGAGACTGAAGCGAGGTCCATGAGCAGAGTCCGAACTATGCTAAAGATACACAGGGAATAGAAGACGGCCAGCCACTCCTTCGACTGGAGAGGGGAACTCCGCAAAGCAATGGCCTCAAACGTCTGCAAGAATATCACCATGGCCTGCTCGACAAGGCGACTGTGCTCTCCCGTAAAGTCCAGGCGGTCCGAGGGAGGTCGATATCCGTAGCTGGGATCCAGTTGAATCACGGGCTTGGGGTGTAATAGGCAGTAGAATGCGGTCTCTCGGAGCAGCACTTTCGCATGATACAAGACCGGGTACTGTGACTCCTCAACCTCACGGGAGGGACATATGTATCCGGTATACCTCAGGAGATCGAGCGGGTTACTTGACGTCTCCTGGCAGTTCCAGCTAGCGGCGAGGGCGCAGAGAATTGGGGGAGGGCGGTCGGCCATATCCCTGGTCAGCTGTTGCGCCTCAACATGTCCATCAAAGCTCCTATAAGATTGTTGTCCTGACCACCAGAACGCATCTCGATAGTCCAAGCAGGTCCTGACGTGATCACCGATGTGCGCTGGGAAAATACACGTCCTTTGTAGGTAGTCGTTTACATTTTGTCGTCGTGTGGGTGATGTGGAAGACGTGGGTGTATGGATCTGTCCCTGTGAGAAAGAAGTGCCTTTAAGGCCACGTTAGATATCATGGAGGTCTCCGGTTTTGTAGGAAGCCGAGAGGAAGGGGGTTCAAAGCAGAGGCGACCTGGGATTAGAGGGGAAAAGGGAGGCTCGAGGTAAGAAGAAGTAAAACCAAATCGTTTGTACCTGGCAATAAGTAGTCGGTAAATGCGCTGAGAGAGCTCCGGAAGCACCCAATGACGGCCCAATGGTCCTCGGAGCCTATCAATGGCAGGTTCGAGCAGGCCGAGCATGGCTGGCCTCTATCGCACTGGATTCCCGACAAGGAGACGAAGCACGAGTTAGCCCAATGCCAGAGACGCCAGTGTTTAGAGAAGAAGAAGAAGAAGAAGAGGAGGAGGAGGAGGAGGAGGAGGAGGAGGAGGAGAGGAAAGAAAAGCGTGTTCCCACCTCCTTCTGGGTCGCTCTACAGCGCAAACACGGCTGCTGGTCGTGGAAGAGGCGGAGCTCTCCAATGGACTGGAGGCGAGGCAAGCTGCCGACCCTGCTCCTCTTGAGCGGCGGGAGGAGGGGTTCGACATCGGCGTCGACGGCGCTCCTCGGCGCGGCGGAGCGCTGGCTAGAGTATGCGTAGGTTATGAGGGAGTCTCGCCGTTCGGTCGACGGCGTCGGGATTCTGAGAGGAGGGAGCTTGGAGGAGAGGGCGGGGCGTGGGAGGTGCATGAGAGGCGACGGGCCCAGCGGTTCAGAGGCATTGGAGAAGAAGGGGCCGTGACCAGAGGAGAAGAGCGACGAGGTTGACAGCGACGAGCTGGCGGCAGAGAGCTCCGAGTCTCTCTTTGCGTGAGAGGCATGCATCCGGACGTGGCTGCTCCGATCAAGCTCGGTGGGAAAACCGCAAAAACGTAGTGGATGCACCGGTCGTTCCCAGCACTTTCAGAGAGGGAAGCGGATAAGCGCTGGACACAACTTTGCTGCCGCGCTCCCGCTGGGCCCGGAGGACAGGGTCGTGAAGCTCCCAGATGCTTGTCCAGTCCAGCCAAGAGCCGAACCCTGGCGGCGCCGATCGCGAAGAGCCTCTCAGGGGCTCGACGGCATCCACGTTCTATTTGCGAGAGTGAGGAGAGAGAGAGTGAGGGTCAGCGTCTGGGACGGCAAGGCGAGGCGAACCCTAACAGACTCGGACCCGGCCTGTTGTTTCTTCGGGCCTAACCTGACGACGATGGAGGTATGGAGTACAAGGCAGATGTAGCATGGAGCAGTCGCAGCAGCGGCAGCAGTAACAGTAGCAGTACTATCCTTTCGACAGATGGATTGGGGGCTTGCATGAGGCGGGTTGGTGGCGGCGGCGGCGGGCTGCGTGGAGAACGGGAGATGGGCAGCTAGCTAATCAAGTAGCGGTAGGAGGGTCTCAGCTTACTATCGCGAACACAAGCAGCCTCGAGGCATTCGCAACGGTGTTGAGTCGCGCGAGCCTCTTTCCATGTCGGACATGAAGAAGGGGGGGGCCCTACGCGCGACGCCAGGCCTGATAAAACATTTGCGAGTCAGCACACGGGCTCCGTTGCCGGACCACAAGAGAAAAGGCGAGTGACGGCTCGTAAAGTGCAAGTGTGTATGTACGAGTATGTGAGGGCATGTACGGAGCACTCTTCTGTATGGTTATCTTCTGTCTGGGCCTGGTCTGGTGTGGACTTGTCCTGTCCTGTCCTGTCCTGTCCGTTCTGTCTACTCAGTCCAAGTGCGTCTGCATGTACTACTCCATACGGCATGTAGGTATGGATGGAGCAATAAGGTACCAGCGAGGTAAGGAAAGGCGAGGCAAGGCAAGGCAAGAGGGCAAGGTAGGGGACGAAGAAGCGTGTGCTAATCGAGGCTGGGCTCAAATGTGGACAAGGCTGTATCAGGACGACAGGGCAAGGGGGGGCGGCGGGTGGTTGACAGGCAAGGAAGAAAACAGACTGAGCAGCAACTGAGGGGGGAGGCTGTGGGTTGCGAATACGCACACACACGGGGCTCCAGCCCGTACATGTACACACACCTGCAGCCAGCACATGGGGGTGGGAAGTGAAGGTGTGGGAGGAGCTTGGGGGAGACGGGACAGGCGAGCCATGGAGAGTGGGCGAGACAGCCCCGACGACCAGAGACCATTGATCAGACCAGAGACTTGACGCAGATAGGGCGGACCGAAGATGAGAAACATGGAGACATTACCGTGATGATCAAACGGCGGCTAGGAGGACGCGCAGTTTGTGGCGCAGCAACGGCGAGCTCTATCCGACAGGTTGAGGCCCGCGGTAAGAGACGTGTTAGCGATCGCCCAGCAAGGCGGCCGGTCCGTGCTGGATCTCGCCGTGCTGGTCAACCAGCTGGGGGACGGCCGAGTCGACATCTTGAGATGCTAAATCATGGTGGTGTCTCGCAGGCGGTGGTGGTGATGATTGTTATTCTTCCTTCCGACGCTGCTTTTGCCCTGGCATCCTGCCATCGTCTTGCTCCTCCTGGAGCTTTGCTTGGCCGTGCCCGACTGTGCTCTGCTCTGCTCTGCTGCTCTGCGTGCTGCCTATTCCTGCTTTATCGCCGGGGTTCGGTACCAACAGTCTCAGGACATGCTGTCGACGCCGAGACTGCCGCGTCCATGGCACGCGCCCGGGCAAGCAGGGCAGGGCAGGGCAGGGCCGGTGGATGAGAGCGAAACCGGTGGGCAGAGCAGGGCAAGGCAGGGCAGGGCAGGCAAACAGCAAGCTGAGGAGGGGAGAATGTGCGCGAGGGCGTGGGATCATCTCGCGGGGAATGGAGTCAGATCGGGTTGCCGTTTGGCTGTCCCCTGGCGAAGGATTCCCGGCGGCCCTTTATGACGGAGCCTCTTTTGGTTTTTCTCGTTTCTTTCCTCGTCCAGATTGTTGGCCTTGTCTCTCGGCTGGTGATATGTGATGACGCACATCCTTTCTTCCTCTGCCTTTCAACGATGCTCGTCACCGCTCGAGCTTCTTCCGCTGTCCCTTTTCCTCTCCACCAGACTGACCTCCTTCTTCCCTCTCCTTCTTGCTCCTCTCTCTCTCTCCCTCTCCCCCCTCTGCCGTCCGGGCGTCCTCTCTTCCCCTGCGCGCCTACTGTCGGTCTCGCTGTTCGACCATTCTTCTCACTTGCATCTCCCTCCCTCTCCCCCCCCATTTTCCCACCGGCACGCCCACTTGTCTGCGCCATTGCCCACCCCCTTCTGCCCTCCCCTGCATCGTCCATTGGCGCCGTTTCGCGGGAATTGCGGGCTGGGGGTGTTTTATCAGCAGGGCGGTGCGGGTGGGTTTTCCTTGTGTGCTTTGCAAAGGGTGGGTGCTACGGGTTGGGGCTTCGCATGGCTGGGCAAAAGGCGCAACGGTTTTTTTTCTCTCGCTGCTTCCTTTCGCTTCTTTGTCGTCGTGGGCGCATGTACAGGTACGGGTACGGGCACAGGTACCGGTGCCGGCTGCGAGGCGCGTGGGGCACAGCCTTGCAGGCACGGCATCCGATTAGGCGCCGCGCTGGTGTTTGTACCACTACGCCATACAACGGGCGCACAACGGCAGGCCAGCAGCGTGTACCGGTACGGCAGCGAGGAGCGCACACGGGCTGCTGGTGGGCGGCCAAGATAGGTAGTCGGTATCAGGGCAAGGTGGTAGAACGTCCTTGGAGGCCTTGGGGGGGATGCACACCCACTTCTGCAGACCGAGAGGCTCCGTAATCCAGGTCTTATTCGAGCTGGACGGGCTGGACGGCATGTCTCACGCGGGGTGTGGGAGTGAGGGTGGATGCGGGTGCGGGTGCGGGTGAGCGTTGAACAGTACATAGAAGACAAGGACAAGACATGACAAGACAAGACAAGACAAAGACAAGGACAAGGACAAGTTCATTGGGGATAGAAAACGGCCCGGGGCTAGGCTGCAGCTGCGCACTGTGTTTGGCTGCAGTCCCGCCCGGCGTTGCACGGTGTCTGAGACCCCTCGGAAGCGCGCCATGTGGCCGTCTCCGCACTGTATAGGTCCCGGCCAAGCGCGACTGGACGCTCAGCCTGCTGTGCTGCCCGCCTGATACTGAGGCACTTGGTACCGATACCTGGGGCTTGATCAGGCAGGGCGACGGAGCAGCAGTGGGTTGCTGCAAGAGGACTAGCGCCACTGCGCGAGCTAGCGCACGGGGGACATGCCATGGCCAAGTGAGGTAAGGCAGGTGCTGAGGTACATATTACTTGTACAGCGAACTGACCCTTGGCACCGCTCTAGCAGCAGGTGCCGCCGGCAAGTACCAGCAATACTGTATCAACTGGCCTCATCAATCATGGAGACGTAGCCGCCACAAGCATCGCGGCACGGAATCTCTCCTCCGTGCTTGTGCAACTGTGAAGCAGTTGAAGTGGACTGTACTTGTACGGTAATGCTCGGATGATTGACTCGTCCACTCGGGCAGATGACGGCGTCGAAGAAGGGAAAAGTCGTGGAATATCCAAGGACCATCAGACAAGGAAGAACCCAGCGCGAGAGGGACGGTCAGGCCAAAGAGGAAAAGATGAAAAAGAACCCCAACAACCACCACGAGCCGCCTCGGAATACATCCGACGACACTAAGACGACAGCAGCAACGGCCAAGCGCACCAAGCACACCTTAAGAGCAGGGCGAAGGGAACCAGGACCAAACGAGGTGGCCGGTGCACAAGCTCCCGACAGCCACCCCCAAAGAGAGAGTCACAGGGCCCGGCTCTGCACCTCTTCGTTTCGTCTTGGCCTTTTGTTAGTTGGAACAATCAGACCGACAGGCAATCAGCACCATCAGCTCAACAGATGCTCCCGGTTTCAGTACATACATACAACGGCAAGATATCGATCCTCTGCCCTTCTTCTCTTCTTCTCCACTCTCGCCGCCGCGTCCGTCGCCTGTGCTGTAACTGCATACAACTACGATACTTTAGGCCCCGGCGTGGAAGGTGGCATCACCAAACCCATCGTGTGCAGCAGCAGAGTGACAGACGCTGCGGCTTTTGTGCGCACACGTGTGGTCTGGTCTGGCCTGGTTCTGGCCTGTCGGAGTCGGAGTAAAATTGTCGATTCGTTCAGCTCCACACCTTCACACTGACATGGACACTGACGTTTCCTGCTCTCGATGCCATCGCCCGCCTCTTCTCTCGCCGACGAAACTCAACCACCACCGAACATGGGGCCGAACATCTTCCCTCTGCTCGTCTCTAGTCTCTCTCTCTAGACCCTCAGGCTACTCCCTCTGCATACTAGCACCCCATGCAGGCAGCACTAGCACTTGGTCTCCATCTTTTAACCGGCGACATGTCCCATCTCCTCCCACTTCTGTCTCGTCTTCTTCTCGTCCTTCTTCCTCGTCTTCCGCCGTGTCTTCCTTCTCTCACCCCTGCCGCCTCCGTCTCGCCTAGTACGCGTACTAGTACCGGTTGAGCGTGGTGCGTGCTTCTGGGGGCCAGGGCTTGTTTTTAATCACCGCCTCGCCTCACCTGTCACCCAGCGCTACGACCTGACTGACAACCTCCATGCAAGCCCTGCTCACTTGTTGATGTCGATGTTGCATCCATCCATTCATCCTGTCCAATCTCAGCCAGTCAGCCAGCTTTTTCTCTCTCTCTCACGCACGCACCGCATGCACATACGCACGCAGACCAAATCAAACCACCATGTCCGGATGTCCTTGTCTTCTCTCGTACGAGTACGACTGGTGCTCCGTCCCCCTCCAGCAAAGTCCGTGCCAAGTCGCAGGCGGGGGCCATCGGCACATGGACTAGGGCGCTGCGCTTGTTGATGCCGCAATCTGACGACGCAGCGCAGCCAACGACAATCTCTGCCGCTCTCCACGGTCTCGCTAAGCAGAACGTCTGGAGATGCCCGGCTCCCAACGTCGACTCGAGGACGCAAGATACCGCCGATTGCTGCTCGCAATAGTTCCTCTACTGAGTCTAGGAGGAGCGGGCTAGTCGGTAAGAGATGGTCGGGTCCTCGTGCCTCTTACCTTGTTCGCAGCACTACAAACGTGCCGTGAAGCTCGCCTACAGCTACTCCGACGTCCGTTCGCCTATGCTCGAGACTAGAGACTCCATCTGCGCTCGGCACATCACCAAAACGAGGAGCCGCGTCCGCCAGTTCCCAACCGCCGTCTAGCCCGCGGCACATGGCGGCGGTACATGCGAGGCCGGTCAAGGGTACTCTCGGCCGCGCACACACACGTG